GCCTGAATGCTTTGATACTTGGTGTATATGTACCTTGGGTAGACCTCTCTCAGATTTGTTCATTTCATGATCATATCTTCAATTCTCTAATTTTGGTGAATATTTTTGTCATTTTTGGTAAAAGGTGATATTTTCGAACTTCTCGTTAAAAACTGCAAGTCCAATTACTTTGATATTACATATAGGTACTAAAGACACACCACTTTCAGATTTGATCATTTCATGATGGTATACTCAATTCTCTATTTTTAGTCCCCGTTCGAACGAAGTCCGAAAACGGGGACTTATAATTCGGTCTCTGTGCGTCCATGCGTCCGTCCGGAGTCATATCTCAGAATCCCTTGGACCGATTCCGTTCATGTTTTGCATGTGCCTAGTACTTCATGTGGGACATATGCACATGCAGTGGTTTAGCGATTCGATTCAAAATGGCCGACTGGCAGCCGTTTTGTTTTTTGAAAATGGTGTATTTTGGACATGCCTTTTCAGTTGTCATTCAAACTTGGTACATAGATTATACATGTTAGGATACATGTCCATGACGATTTATTTCACAATTGGATCAAAGATGGCCAACTGGCAGCCATCTTGTTTTTTGAAAATGTCATATTTTGGACATGCTTTGTCAGTTTTCATTCAAATTTAGTACATAGATCATACATGTTAGGATACATGTCCTGACCGTCCATGAGTTCCTGAGTCTGTCTGTCTGTCTGTCCGTCCGTCCGTCCGTCTGTCTGTCCATCCGTCCATGCTTCAGTCTGTCCAGAGTCATATTTCAGAATCCTGTTGACCGATTCCCTTCATTCTTTGCATGTGCCTAGCACCTTATGTGGGACATATGCACATGCAGTGGTTTAGCGATTCGATTCAAAATGGCCGACTGGCAGTCGTTTTGTTTTTTGAAAATGGTGTATTTTGGACATGCCTTGTCAGTTGTCATTCAAACTTGGTACATAGATTATACATGTTAGGATACATGTCCATGACGATTTATTTCGCAATTGGATCAAAGATGGTCGACTGACAGGCATCTTTTTTTTATGCGGTATCTTGGACGTGCTCTGTCAGTTTTCATTCAAATTTGACAAATACATGTACTTTATACATGTTAGGATGCATGTCCATGACAATTTGTTTCAAAATCTTGTCAAAGCTGGCTGATTGACAGCCATCTGACTTTTTGGCCTTACTACTATATTTCCACAATTTATGTACCATTTTTATTCGTATTTGGTACATCATACATATCAGTGTGTTTCATAATCAGATCAAAGATGGCCGAATAACGGCTGTTTTAATTTTTGGCCATATTACTACTACACAGAACACCTGTTTTGATGTAAATAAACAATCTGTTGTATACGCCACTTGAAACTCAAGTTTCAAGAACACACTCACGACAACCCCAGAGGGGTTAATATGACGAGCACAAAGAGAACTTTCAAACATTTAACGGGGACTGTGTCATTTTCAATGACTTGTTGATGAATATTTTTGTCATCTCTGGTAAAAAGTGATATTTTTGTTGATATTTTTGACTTCTGGTTGGAAACCACAAGTCAGCCTAGAGGCTTGTTATAACTCTCTAGCAAACGGGGATTAGACCCCCAATGTAAGGTTAAGTAGGGATTAGATTCCTAATGTAAGGTTAAGTAGGGATTAGATTCCTAATGTAA